TCCGCCCGCCCGCAAGGACCTATACAAAGAGCTATGTTGGAGCCTGGGGAAAGCCACTACACCCCCCAAAACCCCCCAAAATAAAAGTGTTTTCAAGACACTGGAACATTAAAAGGAGCTCTTCTGGTAAGAACGATTCCTGGATTCCTGCGGAGGGCCCCCAGGGGATAACCTCAAAAAAACATAAATAATGCATTTCCTGCAAACCTATCATAAAAGGTATTCCCGGAATCGCGCTTGGCGGCCTGGCTTCGCTGCCCGCGGAAGCCCTGGGTTGCTCAGGACGGTGGGGATGCCCCAGAGCCACGGATTCTTCGGCGGAGCCGGGGGCGCGACGGGGCCGGGGCTCAAACGGCCTGTCGGGGCCGGAGGCCTCGCGGGGGCGGGGGGGGGGTGCGAGCAGGGGCGCGGTGGCGGGGAGCGGAAAAGGGGGGCGACGAGGAGGGGGTCGCCGAGCGCGGCGGATGGGGGGGGGCAAGAAGGAGGAGGAGGAGGAAGAGGAGGAGGAGGAGGAGGAGAAGGAGGAGGATTACCTCCCTCCAAGCTCCCTCTTCATAGGCCCCTTACAAGGGTTCATGTCCATTCAGGGAACTGCTTCGTTGGGAGACAATCGTTCGAGGACCTTGAAGCATGCCAAAACACCAATCTCGGGACTCCAACGCCACGGATAGCTTGACTGTTGTGTTTTGTCGATCTTGAATCATACCGGAACGCCGTTCCTAGGATTTCAACACCGGGAATCAACATAATTATTGACCTTCACAACTTGAGCACTTCTAGGGCAGTCTTTCTTTCAAACTGGCCATAGGACGCCGTGAAATGTTTGAAAAAGATAGGAATATGTGCGCGGCACTAAAGCGAGACCCACATTTTGAAAACGAACCGCTCTCAATCCATGAAGCTCTTGCACATTCTTGGGACGAACGTGCGCGGCGCTGATGCGACAACCACAGTTTGAAAACGAACCGCCCTCAATCCGTGAAGCTTTTGCCAGTTGTTGGGACGAATGTGCGCGGCGCTCAGGCGAGAGCCACATTTTGAAAACCACCTGCGCTCAATTTGTAAGCTGCTGCCAATTTTCAAACTTCAGGGCCATAAGTGGTGAGGGAGTCTCAGGCGAAACGCCCGGCCTGCACTTTCGACCGGCCTCGGGGTGCGACAAGGAGGAAGAGGAGGAGGAGGAGGAGGAGGAGGAGGAGGAGGAGGAGGAGGAGGGGAGGAATGAGGAGGAAGGAGGAGATATGACGAGAGGGAGGAGCAGGGGAGGAGGAGGAGGAGGAGGGAGGAGAGGAATGAGGAGGAAGGAGGAGATATGACGAGAGGGGGAGCAGGAGGAGGAGGAGGAGGAGGAGGAGCAGGAGGAGCAGGAGGAGCAGGAGGAGGAGGAGGGGGAGGGGGAGGAGGAGGAGGAGGAGGAGGAGGAGAGGAGGCGGAGGGGGCGGCGGAGGAAAGGAGGGGGATGATCAGGAATTGCGACGATGACGAGAAAGGAAGGAGGCGCGATGGGCCGAGAGGAGGGGGTGGGGCGCGCGAGGCGGGGGCAGGCGCGGCGAGGGCAGGGGAACGGGACGGAGAGGAGGATGGAGGGGGAGAGGGGATATGAAGAGGGGAGCCGGGTGGAGGGAGGGCGAGGAGGTGGAAAAGGCTGACAGTCGCACCGATGCCGCCGTGGTGTTGTTGCCACAAGCGTGGCCGTGGAGAGGCCTTCGCTGGCGCGTGGGGCCGCGCTTCCTTTCGGCGCGCTGCAGCTCGCGCCTTGTGGATCGAGGCGTTTTTTCTTCAAGGAATCAGTTTATACAGCAATACATCCATAAGGGCTTCGCCCCCTGCCGCTGGCCCCCTCCCTCGGAGAATGGGCCATGGAAGAGCGAAGTCATGAGGCTTTGGCTTCGCCGTGAAGCAGTGTCGGGACTTGTTTGTTCTTTCGATCCTGACCCTACGGATCTGCGTCACGGATGCCACCGAATTTCAGAAATGTGGCAAATACCTGTTGTTTTTGGACCCTGACCCTACGGATCTGCGTGAGGGGTGCCGCCGAATTTTTAAAATGTGGCAAATTCCTTGTGTTTTTGGACCCTGACCCTGCCGATCTGCGTGAGGGGTGCCGCCGGATTTCAGAAATGTAGCAAATTCCTTGTGTTTTTGGACCCTCACCCCGCCGATCTGTGTGAGGGGTGCCACCGAATTTCAGAAACGTTGCAAATCATTTGAGCTTTTGGACCCAGACCCCACCGATCTGCGTGAGGGGTGCCAACGGATTTTAGAAAAGTGGCAAAACCATGTGTTTTTGGACCCTGACCCCGCCGATCTGCGTGAGGGGTGTAAATTTTTACCCACCCCAGCAATTCAGACAATACGATTTCTCCGTGGTAGAAATGCAGAACTGTAACAGTGAAAACTGGAAGCTGCAACTGGTACAGGAAACTGCGAACCTCTGGCCTACAGCCTGGTGGCCCCACAAGGGGGCCGGCCGATTTTCCCTATCTGTGGAAACCATGCCCCATTTGTTTATAGTTCCCCAAACAGCTTGCTGAACGGGGTGTTGTGATAGAAGCTAACTCCGGCCGAGGGAAAGGGGAGCAGAGACATTCTCACAAAAATCTGATGGTCCGGGCCGTTTCGCTTGAGACATCCTCACAACTCTCGTTTCTGAGTTGGCCGGGATTGGCCGTTTCACCTCACGCTCCGGGACGCCGCGCGAGAGGTGATCTGGGCCGTTTCGCTTGAAACATCCTCGAAACTCTGAGCCCCGAAGTGCCGTGCGAGAGGTGGTCCGGCCCGTTTCGCCTGAGACATCCTCGCAACTCTGAGCTCTGAGATGCCTTGCCCGAGGTGGTCCGGCCCGTTTCGCTTGAGACATCCTCGAAACTCTGACCTCAAGGATGCCGCGCGAGAGGTGGTCCGGCCCGTTTCGCCTGAGACATCCTCGAACTTCTGAGCTCTGAGATGCCCTGCGCGAGGTGGTCCGGCCCGTCTCGCCTGAGACATCCTCGCAACTCGGAGCTCTGAGATGCCGTGCGCAAGGTTGTCTGGCCTGTTTCGCGCAAGACATTCTCGCAACTCTGAGCTCCCAGATGCCGCGCAAGAGGTGGTCCAGCCTGGGGGCCCAGAAGACCACATGTTACATATCCTCCCTGGGACCCTGGGAGCCCCAGGAGGCCCCAGAGAGCTCCAGGAGGCCGCAGGACGTCCAGGACAGGCCCCAGGGGTCCCCAGGAGATTCCCAGGAGGCTCCCAGGAGGCCCCAGGAGGCCCCCTATCAGAACGTGTCAAATTAATCCACATCCGGTGTCGATTCGTTGATTTTTCTTGCTCTTGTGCCCCCCCCCCCCTCTATTTTGAGGGGCCCAAGCGGCCACAGGTTAGATATCCCCCTGGGAGCCCCAAGAGACTTCAGGAAGCCCCAGGTGGAGTTCAGGAGGCCACAGGAGTCCCAGGAGGAAGCCCCATGAGGTCCCCAGGAGGCCCCAGGAGGCACCAGGAGGCCCCCGCAACTCGGAGCTCTGAGACGCCGCGCTCGAGGTGGTCCGGCCCGTTTCGCCTGAGACTTCCTCGCAGCACGTTTCGCCCAAGACATCGTCGCAACTCTGGGGTCCGAGATGCCGCGCGCGAGGTGGTCCAGCCCGTTACGCTGGAGACTCCTCGCAACTCTAGGCTCCGAGATGCCGTTCGTTCGGATGAAGAGGAGGTGGAGGAGGAGGAGGAGGAGAAGGAGAAGGAGATGGAAGGGAGAAGGAGGAGGCGGATGATGTGCATGAGGGAGCAGGCAGGAGGAGGGGGAGGAGGAGGAGGAGGAGGAGGAGGAGGAGGAGGAGGAGGAGGAGGGAGAAGGAAGGGAGTTGCAGGAGAGGACCTAACGGGAAGCGAGTGTGACGTGGACTTGTCAGAACGTGTGCGAGAGGTTGTCCAGCCCGTTTCGTTTGAGACATCCTTCCAATATTGAGCTCCAATATGTCGCTCGCGAGGTGGTCCGGCCCGTTTCGATTGAGCCATCCTCGCAATGCGAGGCTCGAAGATGTTGCGCGCGAGATGGTCTGGCCCGTTCTGCCTGAGACCTTTCGTGGCACAGGGGCTCCAATCACAACCTCTCTCATTCCTTCTCCCGCCTCCCTCTTCCCACTTTCCGCCTGGCTCCTCTTCCCTCCTCCCTCATCCCGCCTCCCGCCTCCCGCTGCTGCGCCTCTGCCTCCTCCTCCCCGTCCCCGCCGTCGTCGTTTCTGCCGCCTCAGCATCCGTCATGCGCGCACTGCCTTCCGCCCTCCCCAGACATCCGACGTCACGATTTTTCCTTTGAGACGTGCGCCGCATACCTCTCGATATCATCCCCGGGGGAACCATCACGACATGCCCCCCCGCTTCCGTGCCCTCCCCCGCTTCCTCTTACAGTTGCTTCCGAGTTCACAGCGTGGCGGTGGAGCCTCTTCCAGCGCCGACCCAGCAGCTTACTCGTCGACCAGGTGCGAGAGAGAACGACACCCTCTAGCGTTAGCTTGTTGATAGGTATGCGTCACACAAGTTGTTTTCGTGCAAACATCTCATGTGCAAACATCATGGAATCATGTTCTAACATGCCATGCCAGTCCGCACTGGACGGGCACGCGATCGACCTTGGAAACCGCAGTGGGTCTAAAAACCCTGTTCGGGGATACTGCACTCCGGCTATATCTTTATTTTTTCGAACATTGAATTCCAGATCCCCAAAAGCCTGAGGCACTTCGTAGTCACAACTCTGGATCATCGGATTTCCTTGCAACCCCACCTCCTCATGCTGCGAAAAAGCAGCACAGCAAGAGGTTTGGGATTTGTTCCTCTGGGGGGGCGACACCAGGCCCCGGGGCATTAAACAATCGACCCAGGATGGAAAAAACAGGCCCTGGGGAACGGGTCCAGTTCTCTGGGGGTCGAGGCTGCGAACAAGAATCACGACGTCGGAGTCCTGGGTAGAACATCGGTTGTCCTTGCATACCCCCCCCGACGGTCTCAGAGAAACCTGCTCTCAGTCGCCACGGCCAAGACGTCACCTCCATCTTCGGCAAGCGCGCGGTCGACTGGCAGCTCCCCGACTCGCTGCTGGAGGCAACCGCCGCCGGCTCCCCCTTCGCATTGCGCAAGGGGGGATCGGGCGCCGCGTAATTGGAGGGCTAAATGGGAGGGTGAAGAAAGGTGCACATAATGTGCCTTAAGGGGGCCTTACAGGGTGGCCCTGGGGCCCAACAGGGGTACGAAAGTTGCACGCGCGTTCCCGACCGAAGCCAGGGCTACAGGCGCAGGAAGCGTGATAGACAAGGTGAACCAGCACGACAGGGAAAACAGCATGAAGAGGACCCTCGTCTGCAGGAGCGGGAGCATACGATTTTCCGCCACGTTGCCAAAAGCGGCAAAGTTTGCTGAAAAAAGGGTCGGCGCAGGCTGGATGCAGGAACGCGGTCCAAATGACCGTGCGAGACACCCGCGGGGGACTGCGCCAAAACGCGTGAGCTGCAGCAGAATGCTGCCGGACGAAGCCCCCAGGATGCCGGTGACTGCTGAGGCGGTGCAGCAGGGGCTGGACTTGCGGGCTGTTGTGTCAGCCAGGCGGCGGCGAGCCCAGCCGCAAGAGCAGCGGGGCAGTGGCGGCCCAGAGAGGGCAGGGTAATCAGTGGTCCAGTCGGCGCGCAGCCATTTGGGGGCCGCCCGCAGTGCAGGACCACCATGGGGGAGGGGAGGGCGCAAGCGCAGAGAGCGCGGGCGCGAGGGCGGGACGGGCAGCCAGCGCCCCCCTGCGGAGGGCACTCGATTGGCACAAGAACGGCGGAACATGGGGGCTTCCAGCTTGGGGGCCAGACGCCCCGGTCATGGCAAAGAGAGCCGTGAGCGTGTCGCCTTGGGGGGCAGCCCACGTGCCAGGAACACCTGATCGGTGCAAGAACATGTGATAAATGAGCGAGGGGCGTCCACCTTTGGCGGCAGGCGCCCCTGCCAAGGCAAAGGGAGGGAAGCGATATACAATTATATATATATATATACATACATACACATGTGTATACATAGAGAGAGAGAGAGAGAGAACAAAAAGAGAGAGAGAGAGAGAGAGAGAGGGCGCCCCCAAATCAAATGGGGTCCGAGTGGATGGGGTCGGTGGATCGCGCCGTATCGCTGATGCATCGGCGATGCGGCTGGAGCTAGATCTTCTCCACGCCGATGGCGCCGATACATCGGCGATGCGTCGTCGATGCGGCGCGATTCGCCGACCCCATCCACTCGGACCCCGTCTGAGAGGCCTGCAAGGGAGGGAGAGGAGGAAAGAGCAGAAGGAGGAGGAGGAGGAGGAGGAGGAGGAGGAATGATAAGGAATAAGGAGTCGGAGGCTGAGGAGGAGGAGGAGGAGGAGGCGGAGGCGGAGGAGGAGGAGGAGGATGGGGAGGATGAGAAGGAGGGGAGGAATGAGGAGAAATGGGGAGGAGGAATGGGGATGTGGGGAGGAGGTGGAGGAGGAGGATGTCTGCGGTCCCCAGAGGGCATGACCGAACGTCCAGCAAGGCGCGGGCGAAACACGCCCTGGCACACAACACTGCCATCACCGTCTCCCTTTGCAAACGGGGCGCACGTGTGCAAAGAGGAAGAGGGCACAAGCTGAATCCGTCCCCCGGCCTCCTATCATTGGCTAGCCCCCATTCGCCCGGGAAACGCCGTGCCTTAGGGGCGGGAACCAGCATTAGGAAGCAACGGGCAGGACCCGAGCATTGGACCAGCGACCGCAATCCCGCAGGGTGAGGTCGCCCCCTGGCCCCTTCGCCCCAGCCAACATGCGGGGCAGGAGGAGGCCCCACCAGGGGCGGGGTTGGTCCAGTGCTGGGCCGACCCTGCAAGCCAACACTGAGCGGTATCCAGCGCCAGAACCTCATCTTCACATGGCAAGCGGTGTGCCCGCGGCTAGTAGCATTCCAACCAGGGTTGTTGAATGCTGTGGGCCGCGGGGGCCCGCCTCCGCATCATCATCGGCGGTGCACCTCATACAGGAGGTGCCACACGGCGCCCAGGCTGCACCGCTTGGCCGCGGTGGCAGGGACTTAAAAAATACCCTGGCCTGACGGCGAGGAGAAGGAGGATGAGGAGGAGGAGGAGGAGGAGGAGAGAGGGAGGAAACATGTAATAAAATGAGATTGGGCGGACCGAGGTCCGCCTGTCGCTCAGCGGCCGAAGACGCGCACGAGCATACCGTGCACGATGAAGACGCCCCCGGCGAGCACGGCCTCGGGCCCCAACCCATGACGACCACGCCGAAGGAGCACTTCTACTTCCCCATCTTCTTGGCGAGGGAGCGAAGGCCCGCCACGGGAACCCCGAACTCCACCGCCAAGCCCTGGAGCGCGGACTCGTGCTCGGGGGAGCCAGCCACGAGGCCGCCGACGGCCACCTTGAGGACCTCCCTCCTGCGGATGGCCTCGTCGATGTCGTCGTAGCTGGGGCCCCCAGCGCACCAGGCCCAGCACCAGCAGCCCCTGCCAGGTCGTCGGGCGGCGCGCCGCAGGCCAGGCCGTCGGCCCAGCCGTCGTCGCCGAGGGACGACGCGTCGTCGCCCCCGAGGGCGGGGGCAGCTGCCGCCGCGCCTGGGCCTCCAGCCCTGTCGCCCGACACCACGGGCCGCTCCTCGACCATGCCGTCGCCCTGGCCCTGCTCGCGCGCGGGGGGCCCCGCGCCGCGCCGCGCGCGCCCGCGAGGCCGCGGGCGCCTCCGAGAGGGCGCCGCAGCCTGGGGCGTCGCGGGCGGCTTCGGCACCGCGGCGGCGCGGAGCTCGGCGACGGCCGCGCGGAGCAGCCCCTCAGCAGCTCGCAGCATGCGCACCCCATTGCTGGCGTGGCCCGCCGCGAGCCCGCTGGCCGCACGCGCCGCGAGGAGTGCCCCGCGGGCAGCCTCCTCCGCAGCCCAGGCCCCAGAGACCGGCGCCATGGCTGCCCTGCCTCAGCCTCCGCCTGGCGCAGGCGCCAGGCGGGCGGGTCCGTGCGGGCACGCGGCCGAGCGTCGGCGGCCGAGGGCGCGCGCGACGGGGCCTGCGGCGCGCCTGGGCCAGCACACCGATTGAAGAGGCAAAGAGGAGGAGGAGGAGGAGGAGGAGGAGGAGGAGGAGGAGGAGGAGGAGGAGGAGGAGGAGGAGGAGGAGGAGGAGGTGGACGAGCCACAGCAGCAGCGGGGCGAGGAGAAGCTGGCTGGCGGGGTCGGCGCGGTCCCGGCGAAGCTGCGCCGCTGGCGCGCCCCTTTCCGCACGAGCATTGCCCCCAGGAGTGCGGCGGCGCCACCTGGGTGAGCGACAACAGCAAGGGGGAGCTCATGCGGCGCGCGAAGGAGGGGCCGCCCTGCACAACGGCGAGGACGACGAGGACGAGGACCGCGAGGACGACGAGGACGACGAGGACGACGAGGACGAGCAGGAGGAGCAGGAGGAGCAGGAGGACGACGACACCAGACGACGCCGCCGCCGCCGACGACGACGACGACCACGACGACGACGACGACGACGACGACGGTCCAGCGGGGGAAGAGCCAGGGGGGGGGAGGGACGAGGGGCAGGATTGAGGGCATTTGGGTCCCTCCGCCTCTCGGAGACCCGCCGAGAGGGCCCGTGCCGCCGCGGCGCCACGGCGCCCGGGCGCCCTCGCGCCGTGAAAAACCCACGACGACGGGGGGGATGTTGCACATTGTCGGACCCCCCGGGCGCTCACGGAACCCACGGGACCGTCAAGCGGGCGCTGCTCGGGACGAAGCGCCGGTCCCCGCTGCGGAAGAACCAACAACAAAAAGTCGGCGGCCTGTGGGCACGGAGGGGCGGAGGGAGCGGAGAGGGCCCTTCTCCGAGAGGGGCGGAGGAGGAGGTCGGGCGCGGCGCGCGCAGGAAGGCCTGCGCTGCGCGATCCAGGCGAAGGGCGGGAATTTTGGGATGATTAGCGTGCCGGGTCCGCCGGCTCTGGCCCCCCACGCCTCGAACGGGGACCCAGAAACCCCGGGCTCAGGCTGGGAACTTTCGGATAGCGTGCCAGCGTGCCGGGTCCGCCGGTTCTGGCCCACCACGCCTCGGCGCGGCACGCTGTCCACTTCCCGGCCCCAGAGTGTCAACGTCTCCAGTTTTTCGAGGCCTTTCGGCCCGCGGAGCGGAGCGACACGCAATCCACTCGCAAGGCATAGCGTGTCGCCAGGGCCGCCGCGACGACACGCTGCGCAAAAGTGCCTGACCGGAAGGCCTCGCGTGGGCGCAGCTTCGGTGGCCGTGTTGGCGATCACTGTACTGGCGGTCGGCCCCCCACTGCCTCAGGCATGGGAGCCGCCGCACTCTTTCTTCGGAGGGGGGGGTGCTCTCTCGTGGCGCCCCCTCCTTCTTTCTTGCGAGCGCGTCTCGCGCTCCCAGCGTGCTCATTGAGGGTGTTTTGGGCGGGTTGGGGGGGGCATGGTGGCCCCTCGCGTTTTTTTGTGTGTTTGTGTGTGTGTGTGTGTGTGTGTGTGAGTTTTTTGGGTCTGTGTTGGTGTTTTTGTTTGTTTATGTGTGTATGTGTGTGTGTGTGCGTGCGTGCGTGCGTCCGTGTGTGTAGTTTTCGGGATGCAACCAACATGCGATCTATGATTGTTGTTTCCTGTGGCGATGATGACAACGATGAGTCTACGATGATGCTGGTTCTCTCGGTCGGGCACATCGAAGCGCGCAGCGGGAATGGGGGAGTAGGGGATGCAAAAACACCGGACCCCCCCAAACAAAAAGTAGGATTTCGGAACAAATGCTGGGATACAGTACATGGACAATCTGTTCGAACCCAATGCAAGCTTGGAGGAATACTGACCCCCACCCCGCTCCCCCATATTAATGTTGAACTCGGTATGGGTGGTGATTTGGAGGTTCGAATGGTTTTGTCCACTCAAGCCCCCTTGCTTGCCATACCCTGAAATATTAAGTTGGGGGTCCGGGGGGGCATCATGCGCAACAGGGTTCGGATATGTTGTCCATGTACGGTGGTCCAGCAAAGTGTGTCATAATGTATAATTTTGTTTGTTTGCTCTTGGAAGCGATTGCGGAGGAGGAGGAGGAGGACGAGAAAAAGGAACGGAGGAGGAGAAGGTGGACAGAGGGCGCTCGCGAGGGCGAAGGCCGCGGAGGCCGCCTCGTCGCCGGTTCGTCGCCGCAATCCAATCGATTGCAATCCAATCGATTGCAACCCAGTCGAGTGAAAGCCAAGGGATTGCAAGGCAATCGATTGCAAGCGAACCCACTGCAACCCAATCGATTGCAATCCAATCGATGGCAATCCACTCGATAGCAATCCAATCGATTGCAAGCCAGTCGATTGCAAGCGCATGGATTGCAAGCCAATCCATTGCAATCCAATCGATGGCAATCCAATCGATTGCAATCCGATCGATGGCAATCCAATCGATTGCTATCTATTGAACCGATTACAACCCAGTCGGTTGCAAGCCAATGGATTGCAAGCCAATCCATTGCAATACACTCCATTGCAATCCAATCGATTGCAATCGGATGTATGGCAATCCAATCGATTGCAAGCCAATCGATTGCAATACAATCGATTTCAAGCCAGTCGAGTGCAAGCCAATGGACTGCAAGCCAACCCACTGCAATCCAATCGATTGCAATCCATCCGATGGCAATCCAATCGATTGCAATCCAATCGATTGCAAGCCAATCCATTGCAAGCGAATGGAGTGCAAGCCAATCCATTGAAATCCATTACATTGCAATCCAATGGATTGCCATCCGATCGATGGCAATCCAATCGACTCAAATCCAATCGAGTGCAAGCCAGTCGGTTGCAAGCAAATACATTGCAAGACAAGCGATTGCAATTCAATCGATTGCAATCCAACGATAGCAATCCAATCGATTGCAATCCAATCGATTGCAAGCTAGTCGTTTGCACGCCAATGGATTGCAAGGCAATCGATTGCAAGCCAACCCACTTCAACCCAACCGATTGCAATCGGATCGATGGCAATCCAATCGATTGCAAACCACTCGTTTGCAAGCTAATGGATTGCAAGCGAATGGATGGCAAGCCAATCCATTTGCAATCCCATCGATTGCAAGGCAATCGGTAGCAATCCAATCGATTGCAATCTAATCGATTGCAAGCCAGTCGGGTGCACGCCAAGGATTGCAAGCCACTCCATTGCAAGACCAGCCGTTGCAATCTTATCGGTTGCAACACAAATCATAGCAATCCAATCGATGGCAATCCAATCGATTGCAACCCCGTCGATTGCAAGCCAACGGGTTGCAAGGCAATCGATTGCCAGCCAGCCCACTTCAACCAATCGGTTGCAATCAAATCGACGGCAATCCAATCGGTTGCAATCCAATCGATTGCAACCAAGTCGATTGCAAGCCAGTCGATTGCAACCCAGTCGACTGCAAGCCAATCCTTTGCAACCCGATCGATTGAAATCCAATCGATGGCAATCCACTCGATTGCAAGCCAACCGATTGCAAGCCAGTCGATCGCAAGCCAATGCAATGTTAGAACATCGGTTGCAAGCCACTATATTGCAATACAATCGATTACAATTCGATCGATAGCAATCTAATCGATTGCAATCCAGCCGATTGCAAGCCAGTCGATTGCAAGCCAATGTGCTGCAAGCCAATTCGTTGCAAACCAAACAACTGCAGCCTAATCGACTTCAATCCGATCGATGGCAGTCCACTCGATTGGTATGCAATTGTTTGCAAGCCAGTCGATTGCAAGCCAATGTATTGCAAGTCAACCAATTGCAATCCAATGAATTGCCATCCGATCGACGGCAATCCAACCGATTGCAAGCCAATCGATTGCAAGCCAGCCGATTGCACGCCAATCCATTGCAAGACAGGCCGTTGCAACCCAATTGATTGCAATCTAATCGATGGCAATCCAATCGATTACAAGGCAATCAACTGCAAGCTAGTCCATTGCAAGCCAACGCGTTGCAAGCCAATCGATTGCAAGCCCACCCTCTGCAATCCAACTGATTGCAACCCAATCGATGGCAATACAGTCAATTACAATCCAATCGATTGCGAGCCAGTCGATTGCAAGCCAATGCATTGCAAGGCAATGGATTGCAAGCCAATCCAATCGATTGCAAGCCAGTCGATTGCAAGCTAATGGATTGCAATCCAATCGATTACAACCCAGGCGATTGCAAGCCAGTCGAATGCACGGCAATTGATTGCAAAGCAATCGATTGCAAGCCAATCCATTGCAATCGAATCGATGGCAATCCAATCGTTTGCCATCCAATCGATTGCAAGCCAGTCGGTTGAAAGGCAATCGATTGCAATTCAATCGATTGCAAGCCAGTCGATCCATTGCAAGCCAAAGGATTGCACGCCAAAGGATTGCAAGCCAGTCGATCCATTGCAGGCCAGTCGATGTATTGCACGCCGAAGGATTGCAAGCCAATCCATTGCAAGACCAGCTGTTGCAATCCTATCGATTGCAACACAAATGATTGCAATCCAATCGATTGCAGTCCAATCGATTGCAAGCCAGTCGATTGCAAGCCAGTCGGTTGAAAGGCAATCGATTGCAATTCAATCGATTGCAAGCCAGTCGATCCATTGCAAGCCAAAGGATTGCACGCCAAAGGATTGCAAGCAAGTCGATCCATTGCAAGCCAGTCGATGTATTGCACGCCAAAGGATTGCAAGCCAATCCATTGCAAGACCAGCTGTTGAAATCCTATCGGTTGCAACACAAATGATAGCAATCCAATCGATTGCAGTCCAATCGATTGCAAGCCAGTCGATTGCAAGACAGTCGGTTGAAAGGCAATCGATTGCAATTCAATCGATTGCAAGCCAGTCGATTATCATGCAATCGATGGCAATTCAATCGATTGCAATCCCGGTTGCAATCGATTGGATTGCAAGCCAGTCGATTGCAAGCCAGTCGATTGCAAGCCAATACATTGCAATCCACTTGATTGCAATCCAATCGATGCCGATCCAATCGATTGAAAGCCAAGCGATTTCAAGCCAGTCGGTTGCAAACCAATGTATTGCAAGCCGATGGATTGGAAACCAATCGATTGTAAGCCAATGGATTGCAACCCAATCGAGAGCAGGCCAATCGGTTGCAGTCCAATAGATTGCGATCCAATCGGTGGCCAGACACAATACAATCGATGCCAATCCAATCGATTTCAATCCAAGCGAGGGCAAGCCAACCGACTGCAATCCACTCGATTGCGCTCGCATCGATTGCAAGCCAATGTACTGCAAGCCAATCGGCTGCAATCCAATCGATTGTGCTCCCACCGATTGCAATCCTATTGATCGCAATCGGTTGCAACGCATTGTT